TCTCTCTCTGTCAAATAAATAAATAAAATCTTTAAAAAAAAAAAAAATTTCTTGTGACTAATAAAACAGACAATAAAAACTTAAAAGCTTGCCTCAAAGTACTAGTATGTTTGGAAAGATCTGATAAATAGCATAAATCCTTCTATAGCTCAGTTGTCATTACAATTTAGAAACTGGGAACACACACAAAAAAGAGAAAATGTGAGCCCAATATAATCACTACTAAATACTTTTTGAATTACAACTTTGTTAAAGCAAAATACCAATCATGGGCAACCTCTCAATGTTCACCATGTAAGAAATTACGTTATAAGAAATACGCTAAGTTTGTAGTACTGCTGATTATCAGAAGACTCCCAATAAGAAGACTTACTATACATACAATAACAGGAAGTTCTTCTTGTATAAAATTAGAAATTTAATAACTCTTCCTTTGAACATTAGTAGTACCCTTTTTTAAAAAGGCAATGTTAATGGAAATGCTAAGCACTTAAAATTAGTAGTTCTAAAATGATACCAAAAATTTGCATTTGCCTAATACTATGACACTTTTAAGGCTGAAGTTTCCAACGTAGTTTCATTTTTTAAACACAGAAGTTAAAAAAAAAAAGGGGGGGGGAAATGAAAGGAAGAAAACGAAAGAAAAGAAAAGTTAAATCTTAAGGACCTTCAACTTAACTACATTTCTTTTAATCAAATGTTAACAGAGTACCCAAGATGTGCCAGGCAGTTCACTGGGAACTATGATAGACTGCAGTATCTATCACAAACTAAATCCTGTATTATTCATCTTCTGAATTTATTATGTTATTCAACCCAACACTTTTCTTAAGAAATTCTCACCCAACACCAAGGAAAATATAGTTTTTCCTAACAAATTCACTTGTCACTGTTTTACACAGGTCTCAGGAGTTATAGGTAGCATCTGTGACTAATAAAAGGAATCTGTTTCTGAAACATAACTGATTATTTTTTTCATTTACATGAAGATGAGACAGGAATTCAACAGATATAAACTGTTTCAGGTAGTTTATAGCACCCCAAACTCAAGAAGAAAAAAAACTAAAAAAAAGAAAAACTAGACTAAACTTACTTTGTATAGCTGATACATATTTAAGTAGTCACAGCTTTTACTTTCTTCCATAAACACAAGCATTACAAATTTTCATTTAGATGCAGTACTATAAAAGCAGTTGATCCTGAACAGAAGAAAACTTGTTTTCAAATAATTCACAGGAACTATCAAAAGTAGACAACATTTACATTTTCCCATACTATTCTATGCATTTCTATACTTGTGAACACACCCTACCCTTTCATGCACTTCCAAATTTGTCATGGATGAAAAATATCTCTAGTTTCTAAGTTCCACCAGTTGAATCTCGAAGGGCCAGATATCTAAGGCTTTTCATTCTCCAGTGTATTAAAATATGACAGCATTCAATTACATAGTCTCTAAAAAAAAAACCTATACTTTCACTGCCATGATCTCTTCCACCAATTAAGTAAACTCTACTTTTTACACACTATCCTCCATTCAGTTAACATGTTTACATTTAAGAGTAACCTGGCCATGGGTTTTCCACATCAATCCACATTGCTTTTATCACAACATCTAACAATTTACAGACTAAATGGATCAACAAAGAAAAATAAACCATATAATCCTAAATCCCAGGAAATACAAGGAAGAACTGCTATCTCTGAGTTATGTAAAGATCACAAAGATTCTCTTTAAAAATCTTTCAATTCAGATTATTTTCATGGCTAACCGAATAGGTCTTCTGCTAAAAATTCACAGTACTGTTCACACAATAAACGAGATTTTCTTTCATCAATGTAATCGCTAGAACCACCATACAGTTCAGTTTCTAGAGTCAGATTACTTGACCTGCTTTTTCTGTTTTACCTTTTAAAATACTTTATTTCATGCAGTTACTCCTGCCTTACCCTGCAAAAAGAGACGTTCTATATGGGAGAATTATGCTCAGTGCGACATCCTGTAAGTGGCCCCAACTCCACAGCTAAACCGACAGAGAGCCACACCAGCTGAACCCCATCGTCTCCCGGGAAAGGGGCTCGGGCTCCAAGCTACCAAACACACCTTCCTCTGCAAAACTCGGAGGCCCCACACACGACCTCGATCAACAGCCCCCGCCCCCACTTCCCCAATTCTAGAACCCAGAGATCATTTTCTGTAAGCAATCTTACCTTCATGATGATTCCGGGACCGCGATCCCCTCGAAAACAGCAGATTCACCTGCACCTGGAGGAGAAACAAAAGACACCCGGTCAACACCACAGGCACCCCTCTGTACTGGCGGAGGCGGTGGGAACCGAGCGAAGCCTGAACCCCGAAGCAAAAGCCGTAGCGGACGTCAACCTCCGAAACACGAAACGCCGATGAGGGGCTCCCTGGCCTCGCCAGCCCCGCAAACCCAGCCACCTACACAGCTCGGCAGCTTCCCGTCCCCATTGTCGGGACCCGACGGAGTTTCCAGTCTCCGACAATGACGCCATTTCTGTCAGAGAAGAAACTCACAACAAGCCCGGGGGCCGGCGCGGGGCCGGCTGTCCTCCCGGAGGGCCTCCGGGCCCGGCCGAGCGGGTCGGTGCCCCAGAGGGTCGCGCAGCCCCGCGTCCGAGCCGGAGCAGGCCCGGGCCCAAGGGGCCCCGGATGGGGGCGGCGGAGAGGCCAGGCGGGCCGCAGAGCCGCGGGCAGGACCGACCCACCGCACAACCGCTGCCCACGTCCCGTTCCGAGGCGGAGACCAGACAAGTGCGAGGGGGATCCCCGGCTGCCGGACCGCGGAGACCGCCAGAGGACCGAGGGGCCGGGAAGGGGCACAGTCCCCCGCGCCGGCCCGGGCCCCCCATCGCGGCCCGGAGCCGGTAAGGCGCTGAGTGTGCGGCCGCCAGGCTGGGGGGCGACTCGGGCTTGGCAACTGCACGGGGGCGGGGGCTCCCGGGAGGCCGAGGCCCCGAATCCGGGCGCCCGGCGAGACCCCCGAGCGATCATCCCCGGCTCCTCGGCTGGGCCCGGTGACTCCCGAAAGGACCCCCTTACGAGACGGTGAAAGCCTCAGAAAATGACCCTACCTTCCGCGGAGGCGAGCTCTGACCCTGGCACGTCCAGAGTTCCCTCCCCTACTCCCCCCAAAACCAGTAGGCCCGGGGGAGAGATGGGGGAAGAAGGGCGGCGGGTCCAGCGGTTGCTGAGGCTGAAGCTCCGGCTCCTCCTCCTCCCGCGGCGGCGACTGGTACCTTTGTTTGGCGGCCGCTCGGGCTCCCTCGCTGGGGGGAGGGGGGACGACGAAAAATCCCTCCCGGACTGAAGGTCCGGGCCCCGAATCGCGCTGCCCTCCAGAGGACGGCGGCGCCAGACCCTCTGCGGCTCCCTCCGGGCAAAGGTCCAGGCGGTGGCCGTGGCGGCGGCAAGCTTAAGCTCAAGAGTCTCCCTCCGCTCCGGCGCCCGAGCTCCTCACTCCGGACTCGACTGACGGGCAAACATCGCTTCCCCCCCCAAACCCCAAGTGTCCCCCCTCCCTTCTTTCTCCCCTCCCCTAGATATTTTCCCCTCCCCTACCTCTTTCCCGAAGGGCCTCTTAGACGACCTCGGATTGGTTAACATTCTTTAGAACCCGCCCATACCCTATTCTTATTGGTCCCCGGGATACAAACAACGACGCCATTTTCCCACCACTTCTATGGAAACAGAAAGTTACGCCTCAAAGCTTCCCGGGAAATGTAGTCCAACCTCCCGGGCCAATGCGCAAGCCCTTGCCCAGGAGAACTGCAAGATCCGCAATGCTCCGCGTCTGCATGAGACGAGAAGGGGGGGCGGAGCGACAAAGCAGTGGGGAGGCGGCAACGACGCCTGCGCAGTGTGACCGGGATGGCGCATTTTCCTGCACCGAGTAATGCGGTGTCGCTGGCGGCTGAGGAGGGTGGAGAGTTCTGTGGTGAAGTAGGGGGAGGGATCTATGTAGGCGTCAGGCGGCATCTTGGTCTGAACTATAAAGTGGGAAGTTGATGCTGGGTACTACTACTCCTGGACCGGCAGCGCGAAAGTTGTGATATCACCGTTGAACCGTGAGCGGCTGTGGTGGCGGCCGGGGGAAACCCGGATGGGAATGAGGGCGGGGGAGGCTGGAAGGCGGGGTCGAGAGGAAAGAAAGAAAGGAGGGTGAGGACCCGGATGCTGAACCGGATTGTGTATGAATTTTCCATCCTTGCTAGAGAAGGGGAGGAGCTGTAGGTGACCCAGTAGGGCGGAAGGAGGCATCTGAGCGGAGAGGAAGCAGGAACCTCACCGACCCTGCAGGCTCTGGACTAGCAGAGTACCCCCTTGAAGCCCTTTTGCCAAGTCTGTTAAAAATCGGCCTTGAAGTTATTTAAATCCACTGCCTGTATCTCGGGCAATTTTCTTCAGGTTTATCATCTCCCAAAGTTTGAGTGGAAGGATTCATTCTGCGTTTCACAGCTACACTTATTTTGTATGTCACTATTTAGCGATTTTGAAACCAGATCATTCCCTTAAAAAAAAAAAAAAACTTGCACGGTATTTTAACTTTTTATATTGCAAGTGTGTGCCCTGATTTCGTCCTCTAGCGCGTTAGAAGGCACTTTCTGTTCATTCAATCCTTCACATATCTATTGAACACCTACCATATAGAGAATCCGTACAGACAGATATGAAGTAAAATGGACACACGAGTGTGAAATTGGTAACAGTGGTGACTGCTACAAAGGAGAGTTACGTGATGATTTAAAATAGGGAATTTTGCTTAAGGGAAGTAGAGTGAGGATCGAGCTGAGAGTGGGTTAGCAGGAGTTAACTAAGGAAAGAACATTCCAGGCAGAAAAAATATGTTGGAAAGCCTTGTATCTAGAGGGAGCTTTTAAAGTGTGAAGAACTAACATAATAACAAAAATAATAATGAGATAAAGTGTGAAGAACTGAAGTTGGGGTGGGGGAGGCGGGAGAGTAGTCCAATCTTAGTTTGTTAAGGAGTTTTGTTTTTACCTTAAGAGCAAAGGGATGTCTTTGAAGGGTTCTCAGTTGGTTGGGAAATAGGGCGAGATCTGAATTTTGCAAAGATGGCTGAAGAGTAGAGGTCTAGATTGAGGGGCAAATGCAGGGAGCCCAACTAGGAGATTATTTCAGTAATAGTCCACACACAGGGGATAATCTATTTTTATACTAATATTCATCCATCAATTGTAGGAACAAATTACAGGCACTTTTCCAGTTTTGAAAGTGAGTAGTTTCAGACTCTCTCACAGAGGCATTCTGTAGTTATTCAATCTAAAAACAAGTTAGTAGATTTCATGTAACACTAATGCCTCAATATATTTGAGTCTAGTACCTGGTGGCTGAAATTTCTAGCCATAATAGGAGTCCTTTGCGTTAAAAAAAAAAAAAAGGGGAAAAAATCAGGTAGGGTATAGGCCACAGTGTGTAGAACCCCTGAGACTTAAGAAGACACAAAACAGATTACTTTTCAATACCTAGAAAAATTGAGGTTCCTGTGTTTTCCTGCTACTGAGAATACTTGTGTATAAACATCCTCTAGGAAAGGAACGTTAATTCACGTAATAATTAGTATTTTTGTATTTTAATGGCATCAACCAAAGCCTTAAGAATTGGAACAAAGGTTAGTTAGCTCTGACTTCTGGGCAAAGTATACTTGTCTCCAGATAGAGACAAAAGAGTTCTTGAAAGGTGGACACATAACTCATAAGATAAATGTGTTCTGGAGGTTGTGAAAAAAGATAAACGTGATTATTGCTCTCAACCTAGTTGTGAAGAGATGGCTACCAACTGTTTTAAAGGCAGAAGTGTATAAAAGATGCCCTTTTTTGTTTATCCTACCCCTAATTCTTTCTGTTCAGTAATCTTTTATGTAAGTGATTATTCTTCCTGCTTGTCACCTTTTTTTTTTTAAAGATTTTATTTATTTGACAGAGACACAGCAAGAGAGGGAACACAAGCAGGGGGAGTGGGAGAGGGAAAAACCGGCTTCCCGCCGAGCAGGGAGCCCAATGCGGGCTTCGATCCCAGGACCCTGGAACCATGACCTGAGCCAAAGGCACACGCTTAACGACTGAGCCACCCAGGCGCCCTGCTTGTCATCTTTCTTTTTTTAATCTCTTAAGAATGGGGTAACATTGGGCGCCTGGGTGGCTCAGTTGGTTAAGCGACTGCCTTCGGCTCAGGTCATGATCCTGGAGTCCCTGGATCGAGTCCCGCATCGGCAGGGAGTCTGCCTCTCCCTCTGACCCTCCCCCCTCTCATGTGCTCTCTCTCATTCTCTCTCTCTCAAATAAAAAAAAAAATCTTTAAAAAAAAAGAAGAATGGGGTAACATGTCAAAGTTAAACAGTATAGATAAGAGGGGTGCCTGGGTGGCTCAGTCGGTTAAGCGTCTGCCTTCGGCTCAGGTCATGATCCCAGGGTCTTGGGATCAAGTCCCGCATCAGCTCCCTGCTCAGCGGGGAGCCTGCTTCTCCCTCTGTCTCGGGCTGCAGCCCAACCTGCTTTTGTTCTCTCTCTCGATCTCTCTCTGTCAAATAAATAAAATCTTTAAAAATAAATAAAATAATAAACAGTATAGATAAGAGATTACTAATTTTTAGATAATTTCAAAATATTTTCTGAACTTTTTTTTCCGCTGAGACAGACTGGGTATTAATTGTTAGTCAAGGTAGGTGTAAAACTTTTCTACATGGAGTGTTTGTCTTTTAGGTCATATTGCTAAGATGATTTCCTTTGCTGGAATGCTCAGTTCTTAAGATTGTTTCACCTAGTTACTCAAGAGGAGATTGCTAAAAACTCACTTTTCAGTCCTTTTGGTTCATGATCCTGAATACCAAATCATTGTTATAGAAGCAAAAGAAAGCAGATAAAGGTGAGAAACCACCTAAAATGTGCCCAAGATGTCAGAGCAATGAGAAAAGAAGATTCCTAAGATAAGGAGAAATAAAAATTGCAAAGATACTTACAAAGAAACCAAGTGGGGATTGGATTCAACAGTAAAGAAGTATTGTAGAAGACCATGAGGGGTATTCTAGAAAATATTGAAGTAAATGTAAAACTCAGATAATAAATCACTACAAGGGAATAGTGTGTGTGTGTGTGTGTGTGTAGGTACAGGCTAATATTTTTGATAATTGCATTCAAGTTAATGCACGTCTTAAATTAGAATCTCTGAAATGGATTGGTTGTAAAGAAAGTACAAGAGAGCATTGGTGTATAGTGGTGAGCATAGCTGCCTTCCAAGAAAGTACAAGAGACAAGTTTTCCCCTTGCATTTTAAGTATATAAAATTTATTCATCTTAATGCTCATTGAAAAAAGTATGCTTACCAATTTATGTAATAAATCAAATATAGAAGTATAATTTTGTGGATTTGTTTTGACACTGATTTGATGTCAACAATTTAAGCCTTTATGGTTGAGTAAAATAAAGGCTTAGTATAAGTTTTTTAACTAAGGCTGACCAATGAATCACTTGAAGATTTCCTTTTTTTCCCCTTATGAGAGATAATTTACATATATAGTTCACCCACTTAAAGTTTAAATTTCAGTATATATACAGGGTTGTGCAACCATCACCACAATCTAATTTTAGAATATTTTAATCCCTACAGAAAGAAGCTTCATACTCCCTGTTCTTGCTACCCCAACTCTAGGCAATCATCAGTCTACTTTCTGTCTTTATAGATTTGTTCTGAAGACTGGCTTCTTTCACTTAGCATGTTTCAAGATTTCATATATGTAGAATTTTCTTATACAACAAAACTGAAAGTCTGCCGGTACAAAAACACCTTGAGATACAAATTCCTTTGCATTTGAAACTCAAAATTAATTTAGTTATTAAGATTATATTTCTCCTTTTTCACAGATCAGCTTTGAAATTTAAAAACAATGGAGAAGACTCAAGAAACAGTCCAAAGAATTCTTCTAGAACCCTATAAATATTTACTTCAGTTACCAGGTAACTGTTTAGTTATGGTCCTTATAGGGTCTTGTGATAGAGTAGTGGTCATTCAAATGCTAGCATACAGAAAAGGTTAGACTTACCAGCTCTTAAGATTTCCTATTTAATAAGGTGATACATATGAGAAAAATGACAAATAGAGCTTTTTAGTTTTTTGTTCTTAAAAGATATTTTTGGGACGCCTGGGTGGTTCATTCGGTTAAGCGTCTGCCTTTCACTCGGGGTTGAGTCCTGCATCGGGTTACCTGCTCAGTGGGGAGCCTGCGTCTCCATCTGCCTGCTACTCCCCCTGCTTGTGCGCTCTCTCTGACAAATAAAATCTTTTTAAAAAAGGATATTTTTGAAGCTCCCTTTTAAAAATGTCCAATTATACAACATAACAAAAAAAAATACTGAAAACATTTGAGTACGTCATTGGAGGTTTTATTCTTTAGGGATGCCACACATTCCTATTCCCCACTATTTAGATGTCAGGGGTTTTTATGCCAATTTGTGTAACAATAAAAAGCTTTACTCTACTTTCCATGTTCATGTTTTCTACTACCACGCATACACTGCATTTCTTACGCTACTAGTTCCTTTAAGAGCCAAATAGTGATGCATCTCTAAGTCGCATTACTTGGAAACATAGCCCACATTATTCCTATATAAAGATGGGTCACCTGAACATAGCTTCTTACAGTAACACCTGCCTAATCATGTATATGCATGTTTTATTTTGCTATCTTTTTAACTTGGTCTGGAAAATGGTAATAGCAAGTTAAAACTCATATATATAATAAGTGTGGGTTCTTGAATAAAATGAATAAAAATTCATTCACAAACCAGTTACTTGAAACTTGGAATGCTCTTTCTTGTAGAAATTATATGAAAGATGATAAGTTAGTTGACAGCCATAAAAACCTATTTAGCCCATAAGATAGCTAACCTATAGACCAGTGATATTGTCAACTCAATCACAATAAACACTTTTTCATTTCTGTTCTAAAGTGCACACCTTTCTTTATGGGCACACCTCAGTGGTATTATGTGTGTTTCTATTCTTCCTAAGCCTGGAGAGGATAAATATGGTTATCTAAAGCAGAAGAGTGGTAGCTCCCCAGCTACATCTTGAAAGCCATCATGATTAGTGTCATTTCTATTCTGGCAGACCTAAATGGAGACGTACCTGCTAATGTCAATGCTTCAAAGGAATGGAGGGAACCATCTACTCCCCAACTCAAATTATACCCAGCCATATTGTCTGATATAACTCACCAAAGCTTATTAAATGAAATTTAATTGACAGCATAAAGATACTCCATAGTACTATAGAAGCAATATGAAAGGATCCTAAGTTTTTTGGATATAAATTACTTTCCACCATGATGATTCCAGAGACAAAAAAAATAAAATAAAATCCGTCTTTTTTTTTTTTTTTATTTATTCATTTGAGATACAGAGAGAGAGAGAGAGAAAGCATGAGCAGGGAGAGAGGCAGAGGGAGAGGAAGAAGCAGGCTCCTCGCTGAACCAGGAGCCCGATGTGGGGCTCGATCCCAGGACCCTGGGATCATGACCTGAGCTGAAGGCAGACGCTTAACCATCTGAGCCACCCAGGCGCCCCAAAATCCTTCTTCTTATAAGTTAAAATCCAAACATATTAAAGATGAAATCCTCAAGATCCAAAGGACAAAGAAGATACACACTTTTTAAAAAACTAGTCAGTCTGTTACTATTTTTATATTCATTACAGATAGTGCACCTCTTTATTGCCTACACCCAGGGCAGACAACGTCGACTGCTTGCCCTTGGCTTGGTGCTGCTTTTTATTGATATATAACTGCATAAACAATGATCGTAAGTACACTCAAAAAGTTAACCAGGGGGTTACCTGGGTGGGTCAGTCAGTTGAGCATCTAACTTCAGCTCAGGTCATGATCTCAGGGTCCTGGGATCAAGCCCCATATTGGGGCTCTCACTCAGCAGGGAGTCTGCTTCTCTTCCTATCCTTCTGTCCCTCCCCTCAAAGCACACGCACGCGTGCTCTCTCTCTCTCAAAAAAAAAAAAAAAAAAAAGGAATCAGAAAAAACACGAAGAAGAATGAAAAGGAAAAGTTGCCTGCTATTTAAGAAAAAGCCAAGGGGTGTCTGGGTGGCTTAGTCAGTTAAGCATCTTGACTCTTGATTTCAGCTCAGGTCATGATCTCAGGGTGGTGAGATCAGATTCTCTCTCCCTCTGCCCCACATACACACCCCCCCCACCCCGCCGGAAAAAGAAAAAGCCAAGAGACGCCTTTTGAGCAGTATTTATTCAGCAGCTGGTAACTACACTTATTTCAGAGTCTCCTGCTGAGAAACATGATGTTACTCCTGCACTCTTCTGTTGTTGGACTTATTTTGTAACAAGTTTGCAAACACTGGCTAGAACTGGGCTATGGTAAAACATGCCAGTTATCAGTGCTGTAAAGAGTCTTAAAGAGCATCTCCTGTTCTGCTACTGTGCAAAGCAAGGACTGTCTGTAGCTACATTTTAGCAATACTGTTTACCTGTGTAATGAACTTCTGTAACATTTTTTTTAATCATTATCTTGAAGTAGTATTTTAAGCCATTAGATAACAAACCTCTTGTTATGTTTCTCACTTTTTTTAATTTAATATAATCTTGCATCTATTATAGAATATAACCTCAGAAGATTTTCCTAAAGAAATAAAAAATTATGAAGCACCTAGCTGACTCAGTGGAGCATGTGACTCTTGACCTTGGGATTGTAAATTTAAGCTCCACAGTGGGTGTAGAGAATACTTAAAAAAATAAAAATCTTCATGTTGCCTGGGTGGCTCAGTCAGTTAAGCGTCTGCCTTTGGCTCAGGTCATGATCTTGGGGTCCTGGGATCAAGCCCCACGTCGGGCTCCCCACTAGTGGGGAGTCTGCTTCTCCCTCTCCCTCTGCCCCTCCCCCTGACTTGTGCTCTCTCCCTCTCTATCTGAAATGAATAAATAGAATCTTTAAAAAGTAAATTACAAAACAAATAAAAATAAAGATCTTTAAAAAGAAATAGGGGAAAAAAATAGGGAGTGGGGGAATTGGGTGATGGGGGTTAAGGAGAACACTTGATGTAATGAGCATTGGGTGTTAAATGCAACTGATAAAATCAGTAAATTCTACTCCACAAACTAATAATACAGTATAATGTTAACTAAATTGAATTTAAATTTAAAAAAAATTTTTTTAATGGGGGGTGCCTGGGTGGTTCAGTTTGTTAAGCGCCCATCTCATGATTTCAGCTCAGGTCATGATCTCAGGGTCATGAGATTGATCCCTCATTGGGCTCCATGAGGAGTCTGCTTGAGATTCTCTCCCTCTCCTTCTGCCACTTTGTGCGTACATCTGATCTCCCCTCCCCCCAAATTAATTAATTAATTAATTAAATCTTTTTTAAAAATAGGGAATTGCGTTATGGATAATAAACCTATTTTTCACAGAGAACTTCGGAGTTCCTAAAGTGACTTAAAGGTGGTCCAGGCCATTTATTCTGTTGGAAAGTTGCTCTTGCTCATAAAAGATTATAGTAATTAATAATTATTAATATTAGGATTTTCTGAAATTTGTGAAATCAAATGACTTTTATTTATTTGTCCTAGTGTAGGTGCCCAGGCCAGGAGTTAGTAACATTAAGGTCTTTTAAAGAGGAAAGCTAATTGGGGGCACCTGGGTGGCTCAGTTGAGCATTAGACTCTTGACTTCTGCTCAGGTCATGATCTTGGGTTCATGGGATCAAGCCCTAGCTTCGGGTTCCACACTCAGCACAGAGTCTGCCTGTCCCTCTCCCTCCCTCTCTGCCCCTACCCCCACTCACGCACTCTCTCTCCTTCTAAAATAAATCTTTTTAAAAAATAAAGAGGAAAGATAATTATCATTTGTTTCTTTTAATTTTGAGGGATCTCTATGACTAGTACCTGTTAGAAACTATTTGGGGCCTTAAAAATATCAATCCAGACCCCAGAATCTGGTTAAAGGAAAAAAATATTAAAACACAACTGCATGACCTATAAGTTAAGCCATTTATTGTGCTGTTTTCTATGTACATTCTAAAGCAAAAGGGAAAATGTGGCTCTACATTGATTGTTTGTGTTCTTCATCTTCTGAACTTGTTTTTTAGGCAGTATGGGTTACTTTGCACAGATGTGTTTTGTAAGTATAGCTCAGATTGGCCTTTGTTAAACTGGAAAGTAAATCAAAAGTATAAAGTATATAGCTGCTACCCAGACCGTGCTCACCTTAAAGGTTAGTAGACAGAAAATACTGCTTCTTGAACCTTAAGAGATCCTTCCCTTTTAGACTTCTCACAAAAAGTGCAACTTTCTTTCATTTGGATATGGGATGAGAGTTTATGTATTCATTTGCTTGGGTGACTGGTGCAGAGAAAACAGATAGGTTTTTGTTCACACACACAAAAAATAACTGTTTTTGTTCACTGAAACTTTTTATGTAACTTTTTCTGAAACCTCATCTGAAATTAGGATGTTACTGTGCATTCCCTCTAGCAGGAAGCTCGTAGAACATTATTAAAAGATCTTGTTGGGGTTTTTATCTACCATTCCTTTATATTTGGGCAAAAATGACTTCTTTTGATAACTACTACCCAAAAACCTCTTGAGCTTTCCATGTAAGAAAATGATAATATTGAAAAACTAATGGCCCTAGTCAAAATAAAGAGATTAACTTTTGACCAAACTGGGATGCTAAAAAGGAATACTTCAGGGAATTGTCATCTCATTTTTTGATAGGAAAGAAGCAGAGTTGTACAATCTCTAAAACCTTAATTTAAAGGAATGGTAGATAATTGTAAGAGGTAATTTTATGAGATTTTATTGAATTCAATAGCAAAGTACATTTCATTAGAAATACCTATAGTTCTTGGGTGCCTGGGTGGCTCAGTCGTTAAGCGTCTGCCTTCAGCTCAGGTCATGGTCCCAGGGTCCTGGGATCGAGCCCCACATCAGGCTCCCTGCTTGGCAGGAAGCCTGCTTCTCTCTCTCCCACTCCCCCTGCTTGTGTTCCCTCTCTCGCTGTGTCTCTCTCTGTCAAATAAATAAAAAATCTTAAAAAAAAAAAACAAACCTATAGTTCTCTGAAACAGACATTGCTAATTAACTGCCACTGACTAGACTGACTTATTTTTCAAAAAAGGAATGAATTAGATCATAGTTCATAAAATGCCCATTTCATTCCAAAATTGTTGATACAAGTTAAGATGAAAGGAGTGGGCTTACTAGTGGGCCATTTGAATATTTTAAAATCTCTTTGCATGCCCTAATTTCAAAAGGCTGTGAGCTTTTAGAATGTGAATTTTGGTAGAGGGGGCAGTAGGGGCCCAGCAGTGATGGGGCTGGATTCAAGTTTGAACAGTTTTCAAGGAGGTTTCTGAATGTATTTTTAATAACTGAAATATTAATTTTATTGCCAAATTTTATTCTTTAATTTCAGGTAAACAAGTGAGAACCAAACTTTCACAGGCATTTAATCATTGGCTAAAAGTTCCAGAAGACAAGCTACAGGTATTTAGGCAATTCTAACCTCATTCTTAATCCCTAATAAATTAATAGATGTCACATAAAATACCTCTTGCTCATAATTGAGTTTAATGTGCATACATGTATTGTTTTATATTGAGGTTGCTAAATAATTGTTCATTGCAAAAACTAAGAAATCTGAGACTCTCATAATCTGTTAAGTATTTATAAGCTGTTTTGAGTAGCTCAAATAAAATGAAATTATCACTTGTCTTTTTTGTTAGATTATCATTGAAGTGACAGAAATGTTGCATAATGCCAGTTTGCTCATCGATGATATTGAAGACAACTCAAAACTCCGACGTGGCTTTCCAGTGGCACACAGCATCTATGGAATTCCATCTGTCATCAATTCTGCCAATTATGTATATTTTCTTGGCCTAGAGAAAGTCTTAACCCTTGATCACCCAGATGCAGTGAAGCTTTTTACCCACCAGCTTTTGGAACTCCATCAGGGACAAGGTCTAGATATTTATTGGAGGGATAATTACACTTGTCCCACTGAAGAAGAATATAAAGCGATGGTGCTGCAAAAGACAGGTGGACTATTTGGATTAGCAGTAGGTCTCATGCAGTTGTTCTCTGATTACAAAGAAGATCTAAAGCCACTACTTAATACACTTGGGCTCTTTTTCCAAATTAGAGATGATTATGCTAATCTACACTCCAAAGAATACAGTGAAAACAAAAGCTTTTGTGAAGATCTAACAGAGGGAAAGTTTTCATTCCCTACCATTCACGCTATTTGGTCAAGGCCTGAAAGTACCCAGGTGCAGAATATATTGCGCCAGAGAACCGAAAACGTAGATATTAAAAAATACTGTGTACATTATCTTGAGAATGTAGGTTCTTTTGAATACACTCGGAGTACTCTTAAAGAGCTTGAATCGAAAGCCTATAAACAAATTGATGCGCGTGGTGGGAACCCTGAGCTTGTAGCTCTAATAAAGCACTTAAGCAAAATGTTCAAAGAAGAGGATGAATAATATTAAGCCATTCTTGATTAAGCCTGGTAGCTTATTGCAGTTGACTATTTTTTTTGTCTTTTAGCCTATCACTTTTTAAAAAATTTGGACCAAGCTGTCACTCTCCACAAACTGAGTGAATAGGGGTGATGTGAATGAGGTTGTTTCCATTTAGAACCCCTTTGTACAGATAATCATCATATACAAAGTTGAAGGAATCAAAAGGAGCCACATTTAAATAGGTCTAATTTGAATGTCAGAATGTGCTATGTTTGGACCTTATGGACAACTGCCACAAATGTTCTGTTGATTCTGTCAATAAAGAAGACTTCAGCTTCCAGGAATTTTTATCCAGATAGTTCCTAACTACCATATGGGCAGTTCCCCATTCGTCTACCCCAGTTTCAAGCCAGTGACTCCTTGGGACCAGTTTCTGTAGCGAGCTGGCCCAGAGACCACTGGACCTCCTCTTTCTTCCTAAATGTTGCTACTTAGAATATCTCAGTCTCTTCTTGGAAACTCCCTCACTGAAGTCTTCCATGAAAGAGCTGACCGTGATACTCAGTAAGTGCACTGGTCTTTCTTCTTACCCCGTTCCTTTTTTTCTTCTTCCTGCCCAGCAAATTCTGCTCTTTAACCAAGGAGTCTCCACCTAATGAAATTTATATGCTAGCCCAAATTCATTCATTTTTCCTTGTAATTTGTGATCCAAAAACTGATTAATATCTGGGTACAGCAATGGCTTTCCATTTGTGAAGAAACAAGGGTATATGGAAAAAGTATTTTAGGAAGGAGCCTTAATTTAAGCCTTTTTATATTTTCCTATTGGTTAGTAGTAAAAATCATAAAAGAGCTGTTTGCTCACCCTAAGTACAAAAGCAGGGGGAAATGTTCTTTTCCTTGCCACCCAGGTCACTACTTCCCCTTGAAGGCAATTGGTGCTTGAATAGAAAGGGAAGTAGGTATCTTTAATCTCTGTGATTAAAGGAACGAGAAGTGTTAACCTGAGAGCTAGTGCCTGGCTGAAAAGTAGTCAAAGGCTATGCTATCGGGCACTAATTAGCTTTATAGTGCTTTAACCCTGACTATCCCTTTTGTGTACTTTCCACCACCAAGCCCCTGGAGCCATCTGGCAACAAGAGGTAGGAGAAAAGAAAAGAAAAACCCTGATTCCTTCATTTACAAGTGTTGCTGACCTCTCAAAATGAAACTGTGTTTTTCAGAAACATTGCATTTTGCTTGTTTGGTTCCATTATAATATATCAGATTTAATCACTATGTACTTATATGAGAAAATCTCACTGAAGCCTTCAGCCGAAATTGTTGAAGAGTTGGGTACTACATTTACTAGCTTTTAAAATAGTTTGAATCTTCCATTTTAATTGACATAAGGGAAACTTAAAATCATGGGTATTTATGCTGCATTATGGAAACTTGAACTCTGTGTTTATGACTCCATTACTTAAAAACATAAAGATTATTCAAAAAAGATCTGATGCTAACTATATAGACAAAATATTTACCTTTAAGATGAAGACTGTTTAAATTGATTATTCCTTACCTAATCAAATTAATCTTGGCCTGGTGCTATTCATGATTCTTTTGTCATTTGTATCTGGTCTTTGTCAATGACAGAAATGCTTGACCTTGAATTGGGGACTTAAAAAAGAGTCATTTTATCCATTAAGTAATCAAAAATCTATTCTTTTCACTTGAACTATAATCACAGTTGTCAATACAGAAGAAAAACAATGTAAGAGTAGTTTAAATCTAATAAAATATATTAATTTATCTACTTAGGTTTAAGCTACAGTATTTTTTTTTTCTGCTTAAAGGAATGTCTTGGAACCAAAGTAAGTTGGATTTTGTCATGTAGAAGACCTGTAATTTTAAAACATTTTCACATTTTCTAGTCTATGGAGGTTCAAAAAATAAATTGATTTTTTTCCTTGCCAAAGCCAAAAGAATGAAGGCTAAATTATGTTGCCATAAATCACTTTCCGCAAGATTTTAAATCCATCAGCTCTTCTCTATTCTACTCTATTCCACTCTGTTAACTTCTAACTTGACTTCCTTCCTTTCCTGACCTATGCCCTACAGTCATTCACTAAAGGCGGCCTTTCAAGAGCTTTCTCAGATCACTTTCCTCAGGCCTTTCTCATCCTGCCAACTCCCAATCTTGGATGCTTCCAACCACCCCCATCTTTGTTCTCCCAACTTGCTCAGTGCTGCCGGGGAGCGTTTCCGGAACTGCTGTTAGAACCATTGCAGGTTAACATGTTAAGGCCTCAATAAGCCCTTTATCTAATCCTGATGGAGTTTTCACATTTATCAATCTAATGTCCCCTGCTTCTTTTCTACTCTTTTCCCAGTTAGTGGAAACTCTGCAAACTTTCCTCCTCCCTACTTCTTAGGTCTGTCTTCAAATTGTCTGCCTTTCATCTCAAGAAAAGTTGTTTGTCCTCATGCCATTAGGCCAAGGAAGCCCTCCTGCTCGTTTCCCTCCCTTTCTGCCTCTTGAGGGCCTATATCAGTCCCCTGCCATATACAAGTTTTATCCATTGGCTCTTTTTTTAATCGGTGTATTCAGAGGTAGGAAAAGGGGAAGGAAATGTACATAGAAGAAGTACCTATTGGGTACCAGATGATTTGTTTTTTTTCTTCAAGCATTTGCTGAGCAGAGCCAGGAACTTGAATACAGATCAAAGCACGTTGTTCTGTACAGCCAGCCTCCCATTCTATGTGCACACTTAAATGTGTTTAAAAGTTTGGAAAGCACTTGTCTATTATAATAACATACATTCCAACCAAAGTGGTCTTTACAAAGCATAAATCTGATTGTCATTCCCGTGTCTTACATTCTCTTTGGTTTGTTTGGGCTTTTTGGATTTTTTAAATCTATTTTAGAGAGAGAGCACACGAGCAGGGAGGAGCAGAGGGGGAGTGAAGGGGAGAAAGAATCTGAAGCCACCTCCATGCTGTGCTCTGACAGAGCCCGATGCTGGGTTAATTCCACTCCCTCTGAAATCATGACCTAAACCGGAACCAAGAGCCAGATATCAGCTGAGCCGCCAGGCACCCCTCTGACATTCTCTTTGAATCCTCAGTACTGCCACCTATAAATCCCTTGGCATCACATATAAGGCTTTCCAAAATCTGATCTCCAACCCACCATAACTAACGATATTTCCTAACACTTCACTGTCCCCACACAGCTTATGCTCTGCCATAAAATAGTACTCATCATTGCTGAGACTATTTTCATTTAATTTTTTTAGAATATTTCCTGAACGCCTATGTGCTAGATCTACGCTAGGCTTTGGAGATTTAAGAGTGATACACTATTCCTTCCTGTAATGGAGACTAGTAAGTAAATAGCCAATTATTAAATAGCATTTTTAGTGCTGGAATTGGGGCCCCTAATTACTTTTTTACTTGTCTCCCATTGCATTGGAAACTCATTAAGGGCAAGGACTGTGACTTACTCACCCTTGTATTCCTAGAAGCACTTAATAAATATTTATAATGAATAAATCTACTTGAAACTAATCTCCCACCTCTCAAGGTTTCCATTAAAAAAAGTGTGTGAAAAGATAACATAAACTTCAAATGTTAACTTTTGTGTTAATGTCGTTCTACCTCTAACTTTCTCAAATGATTCTTACTCAATGTTCTGTTCACTTCTGAAAGGATTCTTAGACTGCTTACTGTTTTGTCTGTGATTACTATTTTATCCAAAGCCTGACCTCAAATTCAGGTCCTGTTACTGCCTACTCATTTGAGCTTTCCATCATCACCTTGAAATAATGTAATTAAAACCAACCTATACTTCCCTTCGATCCCTCTACCAATCCAAACAATGGAATGAAACCACTTCAACCCCTGCCTTTTCTATCACCGGCTTTATGCTTCAAGTGATCCAGGAGTAATTTATTTACCCTCATCACCTCTATCCAGTCGTCCCAAGTCCTATAGGTTCGTCCTTTTTTTTTTTTTTTTAAGATTTTATTGTCAGAGGGGCGCCTGGGTGGCTCGGTCGTTAAGCGTCTGCCTTCGGCTCAGGTCATGGTCCCAGGGTCCTGGGATCAAGCCCTGCATCGGGCTCCCTGCTCCGCGGGAAGCCTGCTTCTCCCTCTCCCACTCCCCCTGCTTGTG